ACCACAGTTTGTTTATTCATTTACCTGTTGATGGACCTTTGGACTGTTTCCAGTTTTGGCCTATTAAAAATAAAGCAAATATCAGCATTTATGTACAAGACTTCGTATAGACATATGCTTTCATTTTTCTTGGGTAAATACCTAGGAGTAGAATGACTGTATCATATAGTTGGTTTATGCTTAACTTTTTGAGAAAATGCCAAACTGTTTTTCAAATATGCTTTCCATATGATTGTACCACTTTATAGTCCTACCAGCATGTATGAGAGTTCCGTTTCCTCACAAATACTTGATCTGGTCAGTCTTTGTAATTTTAGCCATTCTAATATATGTAATACCTTATTGTGGTTTTAATTTACATATCCCTAACAATTAACGGTGTTGAGCATCCATTTATATGCTTATCTTCCGTGCATACATCTTCTTTGGTGAAGTGTCTGTTTAAATATTTTGCCCATTTTTATTAGGTTTTTTTGTTTTATTATTATTAAATTTTGAGAGTTCTTTATTATTCTAACTATGTTCTTTATCAGATATATGATTTGAAAATACTTCTCCCAATCTCTGGTTTGCCTTTTCATTCTCTTAAAAGTGGCTTTTGAAAATCAAACTGTTTATTTTGAAGAAATCCAATTTATCAAGTTTTTTCTTTTATTAATCATTGTTTAGTGTAGTATCTAAGAAATCTTTGCCACCCCAAGAATCATACTGGTTTTATCCTATGTTTTCTTGTAGACGTTTTTCTAATTTTAGGTTTTACATTTAAGTCTGTCATCTGTTTTGAGTTAGTTTTTTGTGTTGTGAGTTTTGGGTCAGAGTCCTTTTGTGTGTGTGTGCATTTGTATATCCAGTTGTTCTATCACAATTTGTTTGTTGAAAACCAGTCCTTTCTCAACTTTGGGGAAAGTCAGGTGTCATAGGTGTGTGAGTCTGTTTCTGGACTCTCTATTACTGATCTGTTTCTTTATCATAATGCCACTACCATGTTGTCTTTTATTTTTAATTGAAACATAATTGATTATATATATCTGTGGAGTACCACATTGAATATCAATACCTGTGTGCTGTATGTGATGCTCAAATCAAGATAATTAGTATATCCAACATTACACAATGTAATCTTTTTTTTAACTACCACATTATCTTAATTACTAGTTTTATAATATTTTGATCTGGTAGTATTAGTCCTCTAACTTTGTTCTTCTCAAAGTTGGTTTGGCTATTTAAGGTTCTTTGCATTTCCACATGAATTTTAGAATCAGCTTGTCAGTTTCTGCAGCAAAGACTGCTGGAATTTCAACTGCATTAAATCCATAGACTAGTTTGGGAAGAATTGACATGTTAACAGTATTCTGTCATCTGACTTATTAACATGATCTGTCTCTCTGTTTATTTACATCTTTAATTTCTCTCAGTACTATTTTTTTTTTCTTTTTGTCTTTTTTCGTGACCGGTAACGGGATCACAACCCTCGGTGTCACGCCCGTACCGCGACCGGCAATGGGATTGCAACCCTCGGTGTCGCGCCCGCACCGCGCTTAACCAGTGAGCGGACCGGTCTTTATATGGGATCCGAACCCTCAGCCGGAGCGCTGCCGCGCTCCCAAGTGCCGCGCTCTACCGAGTGCACCACCAGGCAGGCCCTCTCAGTACTATTTTTTATTTTTCAGTATATAGGTCTTGAACATATTTGGTTGATTTACTCATACGTATTTCATACGTAAATGATATTTTAAATTTTCAATTTACAATCATTGCTAGTTTATAGAAATACTGATTGTTGCATATTGATCTTGTATTTTGCCACCTTACTAAACTCACTTGTTAGTTTTAATAGGTGTTTAAGTAGATTCCATCAAGTTTGCTACATAGAGAATAATGCACATAAACACTTTTATTTCTTCCTTCTCAGTCTGGGTACCTTTTATTTCTTTGGAAAGCATTCAGGCTTTCACCATTAAGGATGATGATATTGTAAGTTTTTTTATAAATTCCCTTTATGAGGTAGTTTTCCTTCATTTCCTGGTTTGCTGAGAGTGTTTTTTTTTTTAATCAGGAATGGCTATTAGATTTTTTGTCAAATGCTTTTTCTGCATTTATTAAGTAAACATGTTATTTTTCTTTTTTAATTTGTTAATATGGTGAATTACATTGATTTTCAAATGTTAAACCAACCTTGCATTCCTGTGAAAAACCCTACTTAGTACTGATGTGTTATCCTTTTTATAAATTGTTGAATTTAATTTGCTAAAATTACATTTAGAATTGTTTGCATTCTGTTCATGAGCAATGTGAGTCTGTAGTTTTCTTGTAACATTTTAGTCTTGTTTTGGTAATGGGGTGTATAGTCCGTTTCTGTGGCTTATAACAAAATAACTGGAACTGGGTAATTTATAAGAAAACAAAATTATTGCTTACGGTTTCGGAGGCTGGGAAGTCCAAAACCCAGGGAACACAACTGGTGAAGGTCTTGGTGGTGGCAACAGTGATGGCAGAGTATCACATTTTTAAAATGCTGGTGAAGAGAGAGCGAGAATACAACCTCTTCGTTCACTCACCTTTTAAAGCCCTCAGTACCAGACCTCTGACCACCATTATTCATCCATTCACTATCGGGCAGTCCTACAATCTAATCACCTCTTCAAGGCCCCACCTTTCAATTACCACAATAGGATTTCCCACCCTCAACAATTATAGTGGGAATTAAGTTTTGAGGGAACACTTAATCCAAGGCATGGAACAATGCTGGTCTCATGGAATAAGTTGGGAAGAATTGCCAGCTCTTCAGTTTTCTGGAAGAGTTTGTGTAGATTTAGTTATACTTTTTCCTTTTGTAATTTCTATTTCTTTATTGATGTTATTTAGACATGACATGTTTTTCTTTAGTTCTTTGAACATATTTATAATTGTGGAGTTCAAGTCTGTATCTAATAAGTCCAGTGCTTGGGATTTCTTAGTAATAGTTTCCATTTATTGCTGGTGGGAATAGGTACTGTTTCTGGCTTTGGGTTATTTCCTCAGATATATGTATATATCAGTACTTTTGAATACTTGAAGGGGGAGACTTTTTGCAGATCATCACGTTCTCTCACTATGGAGTTCTCTCCTCTTTATCACTGTTTGTGAACTCTAGCCACCTTGCTTTCCCCAGACTTGGAGCTCTCACAAAGGGAGTCCATCAGGCTTCCTTTGGGTTTCACCTTCCTGTGTGTTGGTCTGAAAACATTCAAAGCAATGAGCTGGGATGTCATAGGGCTCATCTTGTTTATTGTCCATCTCTTAGGGATCCCTGTACTTCATTGCCTGTGATTCGGTATCTTGAAAATTGTTGTTTCATGTATTCTGTACAGTATTTTTTTTGGTTGTTTTAGATGAGAGGTGAATCTGGTCCCTGTTATTTCATCTTGGCTGTAAGCAAAAGTTCAGATGTTGTATGTATTTTCAGGGTAGTTTTTTGATAGATTGTGTATAGATTGTCAAATATAAAAGGGAGAAAGAATCTGTATAGTATAATCTTTCTACAGTGATCAGGTAAAGCCAAAGATGTAAGATACATTTAAGTCTTTAAGACCATACAGAGATGGGGTGAGCAAGAAAAGAAGGACCTAGAAGTTGGAAGGATAGCAGGAGGTAAGGCCCCAAAATGTGGAAGTGCATGAGATACCCTGAGGCCAGCAAGTGTTTATAGTTGGAACAGACATCAAGATCCAGGGCTTATGTGCCAGTGGCAATCCTGGTATCTTTAATTGGGGCCACTGTGCATGTGTGTATGTGTTTAATTGTATTAGTTGTCCAAATATAAAAAGGTTTCACATAAAAGAAATGCATGTTTCTGTCTTCTCCTAAAATAATCCAGAGTTCTTGAACAACTCCACATTCTCTCATGACATACTCATCAACTGGAGCTGAGACAGTGGACTACTCCTCTTGGATGGGTAATCCAGTTTGCCACAGTTCATTGTGTTATTACTTCTGTTGTGTTATTTTTGGCTTGCTTCCCTTGTTCACCTTATCACTCTAGCCTCCACAGACATTCTTTGCATTTTTACTTCAAAACTAGAACATGGGTTTCTTAGATACAAGGCTGAAAGACAGATTAAGATTGTGAATTATCAGAGCTTTTTCTCAGAACACAACCTTTCTTTGTTTCATCATTCTATTTCTTTCTAAATATACTTATGGGTTTTTTTTCCTCTTTGTAATTTCTGACCCTTTTGTTCTCAGTCATCTGACTTTATTTCACTTACAACACATCTCTGTATTAGTCTGTTCAGGTTGCCGTAACAGAATTCCATAGACTTGGTTGCTTAAACAACAGAAATCTATTTTAACACAGTCCTGGTGGCTAGAATCCAAGATCAGGGGGCCAGCTGGATTAGTTTCTGGTGAGGCCTCTCTTCCTGGCTTGCAGATGGCCGCCTTCTCACTGTGTCCCCACATGGCCTCTTTGTGCGAGCAGAGAGAGAAAGAAAGAGCACACACTTGTGCTCTGATGTCTCTTCCTCTTCTTCTAAGAATACTCATTTTATCAGATTGGAGCCCTAGTCTTATGGCTTCATTCATTATTTCCACAAAGGCCCCTATCTCCAAATACAGTCAGATTGGGAGTTGGGGCTTCAACATATGAATTTTGGGGAAATACAGTTTGGTCGATAAGAATTTCTATTCAGCCCTACTTCTTACCTGATTTTGAAATTCTTGTGTATTTTTCAAGCTCTATTTTGGTGTTTCCCACCATTCCTGTCATTCTAGAGAGAAGAAGCTGTTTTTTATTCTTCAGATTTCCTTTTTTTCATTGTTTTTGTATTTTCTTCCTCCTAATATAAATTACATTTCTACACGCTGACCCACAAAACGTTTGTTTTATATGTTTTTCTCTCCTATCCTCCTATTTATCTCCCTTTCTATTCTCACTGCCAGTTCTCTAGATCAAAGCCTCACCTGAGACATTACAGCAGCTTTCTTACTGACTCCTTGTTTCTGATCTTTCCCTCCTGTAGTTCTGAAATGGGCAAAGAAAAGAGCCGTGAGGACCGAGGACACCTAAAGGAAATGCAGGGGAAAAAGAGTGAGCAAACTGGCCGAAAAGTCACCCTGATAGAGGTAAGAAGAAAACCAGGAGAAAGTGGTATCATATAGTCAATAGGAAAAGATTGAGGAAGGCATGGTCAACAATGACAAATGCCAGAGAAGGGGACGTAAAATGAGAACTGACAAGTGCCCTTTGAGATTTGCAACCAAGAGGCCATTTGTGACCATGGAAAAAATAGTTTTGTGAAGAGTCCTGGAAGCATAAATCAGACTGTCTCCGTCCCAAAGGGAAAAGATCATCAGAATAGTCTCATCCTCCAAGACACTGCATTTTAAAGGAAAGGAAAAGCTGGGCATTAACTAGAGGAAAACACAGGATGTACAGATCTTTATAAAAAGAGGAGTGACAAGAATATTTACAAAACTGAGAGGAAAGAGGCACTTGAGAAGGAGCCATTCAAGGTATAGGAGCAGGAGCTAATCCCCAGGGGCATAAGAAAATCCACAGGATTAGAATTTAAAACAAGGAGGGTGGACTACTTTTTCCAGTGAGACAGGCCAGTGGGAAAATGTGTTTGACAGTGTTTTTTAGTAGGGGGTGGGTATAACAAGGGCAGGAAAGGACTTTCAGAGGGTCTTGTTTTCTCTGTTGAGTAGAAATGACATTTGTTGAAAGAGTGTGAGGGATGTTACACATCCCTATTCACATCCACATTTATGAATTTGTCAACTTTCTAGGAACTAGAGTAAAAATTTTCAGATTGTATTTGTAAAAAAAATAAAATCTAATTGTACAGAAAGCATGTAAATGAATAGTTATATATATAAAATCATGGGTTAAGGAATGAGTTTTTAACCTTGATGCCAGAGTCAGAAAACATTTTAAAACAGATTTTTTAGATTTGAGTAATAAAAAGAAAAAAACACCATAAAATTTTTAAATGACTAATAACCTGGGATGAGGAAGAATTTTGCATAAAGGATTAATAACCATAACATATAAAAAAGTTCTAAGAAATCAACAAGGAAAAGAAATATACCAGAAGAAAAATTGGCAAAAGATATGCACAGGATGTTTATAAAGGTAATTCTTTTTTTTTTTTTTTTTTTTTTTTTTTTTTTTTTTTTTTTTTTTTTTTTTTTTTTCC